TTATTTCCTTTTTTTGGATGATCCCCTATTGGCGTATAAATCATTACTGATTTTTTCCTCTATTGACTTCATATGTTTTAACTCTGCTCAATTGATTTATTATACCAGTATTTAGTGGAGTCTTCAGGATTTTCCAAATGTAAGATCATATCGATAGAAACGGTGACAATTTTACTACCTCCATTCCAATTTGGATGTTCTTGCAAAAACTTCTAGTAATCTGATAAATAAAAGTAATAAAAATAGGTACGCTAACTTTTTTTAGATCTTAGAAAGCCTCAATTTTTCATGACCAAGAATGGTATTATATGCTGCTATTGATTACTATAAAATTCTCTCTTAGTTCTGCCATTGCTAAAGATTTTAGTATGTTGTGGTTCCATTTTATTGATTTTATTGATATAATGATTCTTTTTTATTCACTGTTTCTTACCTGATCCACTCTTAGGGAGTAAGTTGTTTACTTTTCCTGAATTTGCAGTGGTTTCCATATTTTGTATTTTCTTTCAATGAACTTCCAGTTTTATGGCATTTGTTAAGAAGAGATGCCTTTCGTGATTTCTGTTCTATTAAAGTTGTGGACATTTATAACATATCCTAGTAAATGTTCTGTGTGTTGTTGAAATGAATGCATATTCTGCAACTTTTAGATGGAAAGATGTCTAGATTTCTATTGGAATCAATTGTTCTAATGTGGAATTTACCGCTGCTTGATTTTGGCTGATTATCTGTGTAGGGGATGCTATTCTGAAAGTTGTGTGTTAATGTACTCCACTGCATCATATTGTATTGTATTCCTTCTTTTAGTCATTTTACCATTTGTTTGATGCCTTTGAATTAGTCGATATTGGAAATGTGTATGTTTGAAATATTATTTCTTCTTCTGGATGGAGCTCATTATCAATAAATAATGACATTCCTGGTCATTTTTAATTTTGCTTGATTAGAAATCTATTGCGTCTGATAGCAATGCAGCATCTCTCAATTTCTTTTCAATTCTTTTTGCTAGGATATCTAGCTCCTTTATCTCTAACAACAATTTAGAGTAAGGTCTGGTAAAGGTGTGTGTGCCCCAGAAATTTTGTTTGCTCCAGGTTATCAAACTTGTTTTCACATATTGTTTTTATATATCTAATTCTTTGTAACTGAATCTTCCTTTTTGTTTCTCCTTGGATAGTGCTTTTTTAAAATAATTGCAAACAGAAATTCTTCATTTCATTTTTAAAGTTTCATTTCATTTATTTTCTCTTTGAGTTTTTTTTTCTTTCACCATTTTTCATTTGATTTATTCTTATGTTTTTAGCTCTGAAGGTTTACTGATTTTTTTTTAGATTTTTTCCCTTATGTTTATTTTATTATTGCCATGAAGCTCACAAGCCTTTAATCTATAAAATCCGTTTTGAATTCATAACAAATTAATATTGATTATAGAGGCAGGGAAACAAAATAAGTAATCCTAATGAAGACCTCTACATTTGGGTTCTATTCTTTTCCACATTTTGAATTTTTTTATATTACATATGAGCTCTATAGTATTATCTATCTTGGGGGTATTTTAACGTAGATTTTAGTGATTTTTGGCTCTTCAGAGTAGATAAAAATTATTTGTATAACATGATTACAAAATTTGAGGATGCTTATTTTGAATTCTTCACCTGGGAAGCAGGGTAGTTCTGTTTCTAGATGCTGGTTTCTGATTTCTTATTTGCTCTTCAGGTGAGATTGTGATGCCGTGGAAGTTGTTGATGCCTGTTGCTGTGCATTACTCTCTGCATATTAAGCCACTAGGTAGAGTAAATCTGACTTCAGCTCTGCCTATTCTAGAACTTCTGAGCAGTCTTGTTAGCTTGCTCTAAGGCTGAAGATACTTCCGTTTTTTCATTGCTAGATCACATGCCAAGTTATGGGTTGCCCCAGGCTTCTGGCAATGTTTTTACAGATTCACTCTAGTGATACTTCTCACACTCAAATTTGTCCCACATAGGCAAAGCAGTATATACGAAGGACTACGAAAGGGGAAGTCCATTACTACAAGCCATGACCTTGGCCTATTGTAGGCTCAGGTTTCTCATCCAGTTTCTCTGAATGGCATAACGCTGATCATTGCATCCCGGGTTGGATCAATGCACACACTGCTGTAATCTCATACTGAAGTAAGCTCATTGGTAATGTCATCCAGGCATACAGGAATGCCCAACCACCAAGGAACCCTGATGGACACTGAAGCAAGTCCAGAGACTATGTAGGTAGACACCGGTGTGGCTTCCATTACTGTTTGTATTTATTTGTTTTTATTAAAGATGTATTTATTTTACATGAAAGCAAGAGAGAGAGAGACATGATCCTTGCAGTGGTTCATTTCTCAATTGATGCAGTAGCCAGGGGTATGGCCAGGCTGAAGCCAAGAGATTGGAATTCCTTCTGAATCTCCCATGTGAATGGCAGGGACCCAGGTAGATCATTGTCTGCAGTTTTCCATACATAAGTAGCAGTCAAGTGGGTCAGAAGTAGAGCAGCATGGGTTTAAAACTTGTTTTCCTGTTTGAGATGCTATGGATCTTATCCTACTGTAACACAATGCTCTTAACAAAGGATTCAAAAGTGCTTCCGAATGCTAGTTGGTGAATATATGAATATGATTGCATATTTTATGTCAAAGATATCCTTTTTAGTGTGCGAATAGGCACTATTCATATTGCCGAAAGAGGAGTCACATGGAAAGAATTATGGTTAAAGTTTATTCACTTCATTGACTTTTCCCTCCTGCCCCTCAAAGTTCAAACCCCCAAGGATGTTGGCCCTGGATACCATCAGTCTCCTTTTACTGTGGGAAACGACAGGCTCCTGAAGTGAATGGGATTTGCCTGACTGCTTCTCCAGCTGGAAGGCGGAAGGCAGTGCCACTCAGGTGTCTATTTCCAGGCATCTCTCCCTATTTGAACCCAGATAGCCTCTAATATTAGATATTGCCTTCCACTCATGGGTGTCATGGTTGAAGGAAACTTTCCTGAGGATTCTTGAGCTGAACTCTAAAAAAACGAAGTGAAATTGAAACCTAATAAATTCAGGAATACCTTTTATCTCAGGGTTTTTGTCTTGCTCTTCTGCATATGCGAAAGGAAAACGTGAAGGCTCTGTCTGTCCTGTGACGTTTTATTCTACTCATGTCCTTTGACAAAAACATCATCACTTACAGAGACTTAATATGATTCTGAAAAGCATATTCTGTTGGTCCTCTTTGTGTTCATGTTGGTTCAAGTCTTTACAAACCGACTGAACTTTATTTACCTTTGTTCATTGTTGATTTTGTGGGTCAAGAAGAATGCAGTAGCAGTCATGCAGAAAGTTCCTGTTTGTCAACGTGCAAGTTCAGAGATGAACTGTAACCAGTGGGCCATTAAGTACCTTCTCTTGTTGCTCAAAGCATGTTGTATCTTTGCGAAATAATTGTTAACAGAGTGTTATTGTAATTGAGCCAAGAAATGGAATTCCTGTAACTCTAAGCAGAGGAGAGAGGCTGTCAAGTACCCTGGGTTGTGGCCCACTGTTTTGTGGCTTTGTGCTTTTCTGAATGTGAAGGCTGGAGTATACTTAGGAATGAGGAAATTAAAAAAAAAAAAGCACAATTTTTTAAAATTGTTAATTATGTATTTTATTTATTTGAAAGGGGTAATGGCGTGTTGGAGGAAGGCAGGAGAAAGGGAGAAAGAAAAAAAAAAAAAACCTTCTATCTAATGGCTTGTTTCCCAAATTTCTGCAGCAGCCATGGCTGGGCCAGGCTGAAGCTGGGAGTCTGGAACTGGTTCCAGTACGCCTTATGAACGACAGGAACCCATGTGCTTGAGTCAATCAGCACGTGCTGCTTCTCAGTGAGTCCACTAATGGGAAGCCAGCTCGAAAGTGCAGATGGGAGTGGAATCACAATTTCTGATACGGGATGTAGGCATTCCAAGCTATAACTTAACTGCTGTGTCAAATACCTGCCCAGCATGTGTATGCATGTACAAAAGGAATATTGTAACCCTTACAGAAGTTGCTAACATGCAGTAGTATCCCATGAGATTTCATTTTTTTGTCATTTAGGACTGAGAGCATCTTTTTTGTTTGTTGTTTTGTTTTGTTTTTGCAGACACTGCATTAAATGACTATTTTCACATTCTAGGTCAACCATCAAATTGCAAAATTTAATTTACCATACAATAATCTTTCATTTCATCCTTAAAAAATCAGTTTTGGTTGAGAAGGTTCTTATAGTTTTACAAATAATTAAAGAAGAGTTTCTGTCTAAAGGGTATGTGTTCCTTGTGTGAGATTGTAATAAATGTTTTACATTTCTTTTAATTTTCTCCTTTTTGGCATTTACATTTTCTTAGTACTTTGTGTGATGAAAGAACATTCAAACAATTTTTGTTTCTCTCTCTCTCTCTCTCTCTCTCTCTCTTCTTTATAATAGTGTTAAATATATATGAGGACACTTAAAATGTCCATGGAAAATAACCATTTTATTTCCAAGAAAACCTGAAATCCAAATAAATCAAGGAAAATGCGTATTATAAAAAAAATACACAGGAACTTCTTCCAACTCTCACACGTGGTGCAGGGTCCCCAGGTTTTGGGCCATCCTCTGCTGCCTTGCTAGGCCACAAACAGGGAGTTGGATGGGAAGAGGAGCAGCCTGGATACGAACCACCACCCATATGAGATCCCAGTGGATGTTAGCAAGGATTGTAGCCACTAGGCTATCGCACGGGGCCCAACAGGTTTATTTTTGAAGGCTCCATCCAGTGTCAATGTATTGATGTGGAGAAACATATTCCTAAGTGTAAAGAAATGGTGAGGGACAGTTCTTCACAAGTGGACAGTTCAGTGTGCAGTGGAAGTGCAGATCCTGCTTGTTCGGCTGTTTCCTACTCAAATGCGTCTGTCCCAATATTCATTAACATATGCTCAATGTATTCCCTGAGTTAGAATAACATGAAATTTCTCTCTCTCTCTTTCAGGTATGGAAAAATTGTGTCCACAAAGGCAATTCTTGACAAAAACACGAATCAGTGCAAAGGTACGTGTGAACGTCTCTGTCCGGGGTTCTCGCCCCCACATTTGATCAATGGTTTTTGCACACAGGCAGCAACTACAGAGTGATCATAAAGTACAGTGTGTGGCATCCCTCTTTAATAATGCTAATGCTTTGATGAGTTGTATTCCTGGCAACATTGCTCATTAATTTTTTCATTAACAAACAAAATGAAAATCACAAATCAGAACAAGTATCAAATTGCTTTAGCATAAAACTAAATTACCTACTAACGACTTTGGGTTGTCTGGTTTGAATGATATCATCGGTGATGCAAATTGATTTCCTATATAAAAGTGAGAAACACTGGGGAAAACATTTTCAGCAGAACACGTTTTAATTTTTCTGTTCTTTAAAGCTTTAGCAACATTGGTTGACTAGGAATGAGTTTACTGAGGGGCCCAGTGTATCTAAGCTTCAGCCATAAATGTCTCCCAGGATTTCAAAGTTTGTATCTTATTAAGTTAGGCTTTTAATCCTTTGGAAATATGTCTGAAGTCATTTGACTATGTCTGTGGCTTATGTTTGTTCACGACTGAGAATCCCATATACTTTAAAGGATTGCATTAACTTATTGGGAACGATATATAGTCTGTCTTGCATAACCTAGTTTTTTTCTGGGAAACTGGAATGTTTTTGAAACATATGTTAGTTGTTATTCTTAATCCTGTCTTTACTGTAATACTGAAACCAAGGAATATGGTAGCCCAAATATTGTCCCAATTTGACACACTACTAGAATGTGCACTAGTTCTAGAAAATAACAAACACACATCTCCGTAAATATATTGACTTTCTTGAGTAATGGTAGTCAAATTGTATTCAGTGGTTTCAATAGAAAGCATTTAATGTCTCTTATAAAGTCAGAAATATACCAGTTACTATAAAGCATTCAACGATGTAGTTTTGTTGTCTACTAGTTTAATTTCTATTTGTCAATGAAGAAAGGAACTAATTCTGATACTCTGGCTTGGGTTGTTTTATCTACCTGATATCCAAAAATAATGTGGAATGTAATATGGGAATTCCATTTCAGGGAATAAAGTTTATAAAAGAAAGGCAGAATAAATGAAGTTGCGAAGTGTTGACCTTGAGGTGGAAGGATTTCGGAAGGCAGTTGAGTAGACCCACAAAAAATATATCAGTCATAATACTGGCAAATAAATAAGAGGTCATGTTTTAGAGGCTTTACAAATATTATCTCGGATATCTTGATATTTTTTATTTCATACTTTCAACTTAAATTTTCATTTTATACGGTATCAGTTTTCTGAGCATTGACAATTTCTATGAATGGGGAAGATATCTTTGCCATTTATTGAGGAAAGAAGTCCAGAAGAACTCATAGTATGTTCTGGGATGAAGGTGATAAACTAAGTATTGGGCATATTTACTCTGAGGCCCCAAATTAATATCCAGGTAGGTGTTAGCACAGATCAGTCTGAAAAAAAAAAGTCATCATTATTGTTGGTGACTGGAGTCAAGAAAGTGGATAATATCATCAAATAATCATTTGTTGAAGAGGCAATAGGGTGGGGTATATTAGGGTGAACAACTGACAAAGCAGGGGAGTTATAAGAAAATTCAAAGCATGATTAAGGGGTAGCATGTCCCCCTTGGCTGGTGAAATGCTGATGGTATAGTAGAAGCATCAGAATGCTAATTCTGTTGTCCTCAGAGCAGCCAGACAGTTGTCATACACTTTAAACTTATAGATCTGAGAAATTTGAAGTCCTGATTCAAGCAGTTAATATGGTTTGAGTACCAGTTATAGTCACAGTTGTCTCATAGACTAGCAATGCCTGGAAATATTGATAAATCCGGTGAAATCTCGAATGGCTGTAATGGCACAGGATCATTCTATGTGCAAAGTGTTGTGCAACACTCTCCAACGCTGGAGACAGCAAAAATGTGAACTGGCAGCTTGAAAGAACTCTTGTGTCATTGCGAGGGTGTGGAGAGGAAAGAATGTACATGGAAGTAGTCCATCAGGCTTTCCATAAAGATATTATCGAATACATGCATGTGTGTGTGTGTGTGTGTGCACACATGTGCAAATCTGGAAAAATCATACTGAGATATACAACTCACCCCAGTCACTAAATAATATCCACAGTTTTTGAAACTGCTCACATAATTTTTATGTCTCTGCAAAAAGAGTTTGAAAATCGATGAAGACGGGCCCTGTGTATTCTAGAATATTTTTCTCCGAAGTGAGATGTATGCAAGAGGTGTGCAGGATCGTTTGTCAGTAATGCTAGAAGAAAGCATTGCATTTATATCAGCTTTTCGTAAATGTCTTATAGCATGTTTCAGTATAATCTTACAGATAAATATGTTTTAAACAAATAAGTCAATGTTGGGGTTTTGTGCTTCAACATATTAGCATTTTAGTGAGGAGGGCTTAAAAAGTAATTTGGAAAACATCGCCTTCAAATATAATAAGCGTGAATGAATGCAAAGGGTGAAAGTAAGGAAGGGATGTGGAGGCGACTTAGCAAAATGATCGTTGAATGACGGTTAATGACCGTTCTGATAGTGCACTATCAGCTCTTTTTCTGGAAGGTAGCATGAAGACATCGGCATGAGGTGGCCATGATAGACTTGGAACCGCCTGCAGTTGTTTTGTGTTGGTCTCAGCATTTGGAACCTGGGCTTAGCAATCGTGCCATCTGAATCACAGCCTCCATCAATGTGTGCAGAGGTGCACCACAGGGAGGGAACATGATCAAAGCATTCTCCTCACTTTGTACTTTGGGGAAAATATTATTAATTTCATGATACAATATATTGCCTTTTAGAAAAAAAAGGGAAATACTTAAATAAATACAAGTCCATACAATTATCTACATTTTAGGGGAACTTCCTCATAATTGTTAGGGATGACCATGAGGACTTGTTGCTCAGAATGGCAGAACTATATGAAGTTATCAAAGAGGTCAAGGAGCTGTTACTGCAGGGTAGGGTGCATGTAAGTGCTCGCTGGAATCGTTAAGGAATAACACAAAAATGGTGATGGGACAGTATGATTTATCTGGAAGATATTCACTGAAAAAATAATAGAATGAAATATATATAGGAAAAAAAGAAGAGAAGGTACCTACTCACTGGTTCAGAGGAAGGAGATGGGTGGAAGAACGGCAAAATCTTGAACAGGTTACAGGAGAAGTAATGTCCTCTGGGGGGAAAAATGGGTGAACACTGGAAATATGAAAATCAAAATAATTTGCAGCGATGGTTTACAGCCATTCAAATAGTAAATATTAGCTTGGGCAGTCCCTCTAATGTTGGTTACTGTGAAACTGGTTCATCTATTCTTTCTTAGTGCTGTGCTAAATTGCTAGAACCCTTAGGAATGTCAGTGTGAAAAAGTAATAAAGAGCATATTGTTGACACTCGTTAGCCCACTGGGAATACGGATGCAAATTTTGATTCAAACACATTTAAGACACAGCTTTGATGTCTTTTCATTCTCTACCTTGGGAAAAATCGAGGAAAGATGCAAATTCTAGCTTGTGGCACAAACTCAGCTGTTGTGCAGTTATTAAATGGTAACCATAAAATTATGCTATGTCAACTGATGGAAAATATTTATTATATGAACTTAAATCAGCATAGAGGAATGCACAGCAGTGTGTGTACGAAGCATGAAGCTATTTAAATGTGTGAGAGTCAGTAATGTTTTGGTTATGACTGTGGAAGAACCAGACTGCTTGATTTGAATATGGTCTCCCCATTTAGTAGCTGTGTAAATAGTCAATTACTCAACTTAACCGATCCTTAGTTGCCCATATATAAAATGGTAATATTAATTGGGTCTGACTTATAGAGTGTTGTAATAGTAAATGAGTTAATACGTGAAATATGTATGTTACATTTTGTAAAGTAATGGCAATATTAATCAAATGAGAATATTTATGTTAATGTGGTAGAATTATGGGTAACATAGCATTATTATTTTAACATGACTCCAAATCTGTTTTGTTGTCTTTCCAGACATTAAAAAAAAATACAGCTCTTGGAAAAGTTGAGCTGGTTTCAATTATGTTTCTATTTTGTTTTCTCTTTTTGTAAAAACCTGAATAGCTTATAAGCATGTATTTATTTTTGAAGAATATTTTCAAGTAAAAATAGTTACTTTTGTTCTTTAAACAACAGGCAGAGATTGAGTTCCTACTGACTAATGCCTTTTGAAAAAAAAATGGGTATTTATTTGAAAGGCAGAGTGGTTAAAGAGCTAGAGATACTGTCCATCTGCTGGTTCACTCTCTCCGAAGACTGCAATCACTGTCAATAGCGTGGAACTCAGCTAGGTCTCCCACATGGTGGCATAAAGCTGAGCACTTGGCCCTGTTTTGCTGGGTTTCTTGGGGTGTTGTTATAGGGCACTGAATCAGATGTGGAGCTCCTGGGGTGTGAGTGTGGCCTCATATGGATTGCCAGTGTTGCGGATGGCCGTTTAGGTATCTAGGCCACCATGCTGGACCCTGACTGTTACTTTTCCAAGGAAAGGAATGAAAAGATGTGTGAGGAGGCTTTGTTAAACAGTCTGTAAGAGCAGTGAGCCCTCCCTTGGGAAACAGAATTTGGATTTTTTTTTATTTTCTGGAGACACTTGGGTTCCTGGCCTTGCATGAAGACTATGCAATTAACAGCAAACATTGTGAAAACAAAGACTTATTCATATTTGTCTTTAAAATGGTATATAAATCCAGCTTTTCAGTAGTTGTTGATATGCAGCATTTAATACACAAGGTATTTATACTAAATATGAGAAGGTACATACACTAGTTCTCTTAGAGATGAAGAGGGAATCAAAATTAACTTTGATGTGCTATTGGCTCTCATTTTTTTTTATATCATCAAGAAGAAAGGTTTTTGCTCTTACTGCATCCCATCTGTACTTGGTAAGTCACTAGCGGAAGTCAGGGAGAGATGAATCATGTCACTTGTCAAGTCCAAAAGGTGTCGTTGAGAACCTGTTC